TACACCACTTGCCCTGATCCTGGTGTGCAAATTTTTCCCATGGTTGTCACTCATTCCAGGACGAGGGAGAATGCCCTCTCCATCTCATCTTCCGGTCAGATCACCAATGGAATGTCCCTTAAATCTTACTAAGAATAAAACCTCATTTAAACTAATTATAGGGAAGAATTGACTAACAGGAGTAAAATCCAACTTCTAGAAGCAGATTATGTACTTAACTTACAGTAACATAGTCTGTTAGGAACCCTTTGGAAGAAAAAGGCACTGTTCCCTTTTTGTAAAAATGTTTTAGTCTTACGTGGCAGAAACGACTTTGCAAATGTGATTAAGGATTTTGAGGTGGGAGAGGGATCTGGGTGGGCCTTAAATGAAAAGGCACCATGGGAAGAACACAGTATCCCCTCTGTGGTTGCCTGCCAAAAATCTCATCGAAAGGACCTATGAGAGAAGGTCTTAAAGAAGAAGACAGAAGAACTGTTTCAAGTGGAAGAAGACTAAAGAGAAAGGAAAAGAAAATGCCCCAGGTAACCCCTCATTCTGTCCTGAGCCACGGGGTGATAGCGATCAAGGATGTCATTGAAAAAATCAATGAAACTTGGATGTGGACTGTGCTTTATATAATGGAATTTAGTGATGCCAGACTTTCTGATTTTGATAACACTTACGCAAAAGAATATCCTTATTTTCATGATGTACATACTAAAATATTTAGGGGTAAAGGGACATGGTGCCTGTGACTCACTTTTACAAGATTCAGGAAAAATAAAAGAGACAGAGAAAGCAAAAATAGGGGAAAAGTGTAAATAATCGGTGAAGTTGGGTAAAGGGTTTCCTAGCGTTGCCATTATGCAGTTCTACAAGCTGGGTGGTTTCAAGCAACTTGTTGTCTCACAGTTCTGTAGGCCAGAAGTCCAAAGTTGAGGTGTTGGCAGGGTCGTGCTCCCTCTGAAACTTATGGGAAAGCATCCTTCTGTGTCTCTTTGAGCTCTTGGTGGTCTCAGGTACTCAATGGCTTATGGCAGTGTCACTGCAATCTCTGCCTCGATCCTCACATGGCTGTCTCATCCTCTGTGTCTGTGTCCCCAATAACCCTCTTTTTGTAAGGACACCTGTCATTTACTTTACTCCAGAATGACTGCATCTTAGCTAGTCTCATCAGCAGTGGTCCTATTTCCAAATAAGTTCACATTCACAGGTACCAGGGGTTAGGGCTTCAACATTGCTTTTTGGGGGGATGTAATTCAACCCATAACAGATATATAGGACTTCTTTGTACTATTTTTGCAACTTGGAGTAAACTTGAAGTTATATCAAAATAAAAAGTTACTAAAATTATTTGCATATAAAAAGTGGTATTTGTGTGTATAGTGTTAGGTAGTGTTCTAATTTCATTCTTTTACATGTAGCTGTCCAGTTTTCCCAGCACCACTTATTGTAGAGGCTGTCTTTTCTCCATTGTATATTCTTGCCTCTTTTGTCATAAATTAGGTGACCATATGTGCATGGGCCTATCTCTGGGCTTTCTGTCTTGTACCATTGATCTATATTTCTGTTTTTGTGTCAGTACCATACTGTCTTGATTACTATAGCTTTGTAGTATAATTTGAAGTCAGGGAACCTGATTCCTCCAGTTCCATTTTTCTTTCTCAAGATTGCTTTGGCTGTTCAGGGTCTTTGGTGTTTCCATGCAAATTGTAAAATTTTTGTTCTAATTCTGTGAAAGATGCCATCGGTAGTTTGATAGGGATTACATTGTGAGAGTAGCAGCGACATATATACACTACCAAATGTAAAATAGTTAGCTAGTGGGAAGTAGGCGCATAGCACAGGGATATCAGCTCGGTGCTTTGTGATGACCTAGAGGGGTGGGATAGGGAGGGTGGGAGGGAGGCTCAAGAGGGAGGGGATATGGGGACATATGTATGCATATGGCTGATTCACTTTGGTGTACAACAGAAACTAACACAGTATTGTGAAGCAATTACACTCCAATAAAGTTTTATATTAAAAAAGTGGTATTTGCTTATTAAAAGTCCACCAGGTACCTGTCATTAAAATTTCAGTTTTAATGTGCTGGGGAATTATTACTAAATGAAACAATTGGCAAGTTTATTCATTGACATTAAATTGCTACATAAAATAATAAAATATTTATTTACAGGAAATGTGCATTTATTTGTTCATATGTCATCTGACATGCAGTAAATAAGATTCCTACTTGAGAAGAATGAGGCATTTGAGTTCTATTTCCAATACTCCAGGAACAGAGTGTAGGACAAATTGGAGATGGGGTGGCCTTCCAGCTTGCATAATGAGAAAGGAAATGTATTCAGGGCTCCCAGTAGGAACTGTGCAGGCCTCAACTGCAAAAGCATTTGAGGAGTTTGCTTTTGCATAATATAACATTTACTTCCCTGATGAAACCAATCACGACGTGATTTATTTTCTTGAAGCCACAACTGAAGGATTTGCCTTGGTCTTAGTTCCAGAGGGACCCATTAACAACACATTACCTTCTGAGTTAGTCAGACTAAGAGTAATAATCAGCCATGAATCTTATCAATGGGGTTTTTATATATGTATGTACAATTTCAGAATTCTAAGTCAAGAAATACAGCTTTTTCAGGGGATCATGTAGATACATGTTTTGTGGCACGTGAATCAGCTCTTCTAGGGACATCTACTAGGACCAGATAGTTGAGTGGTGGGGGTAGAGCCACTGCAGCTGGGATGTCTCACCCATGTCCAGTGGCAAGGAAAGAAAAGGAGGGAAGGGGGGGGGAGGGAGGGGGAGGGGAGGGAGGGGAGGGAGGGAGGGACTGATGGAAAGGGGAAAGAGGGAGAAGAAGTCTCCCACAATTGTCATCCATCTGGGAAGAGTGAAGGCAGGAAACTTAAGTATGCATAGAGTGATTTTGTAATTTCATGTATATACTCTTAAAAATGAATGTCAGAAAATTTAGTTAATAATAATTATCACGAAAAACATAATTCTTTGCCTCAATTTTTAGTGATTAGTTTAAGTTCAACGTTTGCTTATTTTTCAGTTTGTTTCGGTCAATTGTTTTTAGGGCCTAATATGTCCCAGGCACCCGTTGGGCATGCAAAGAGGAATGAGATGTGATCTGTGATTAGGGAAGTTCCCGACCCCCCAGGAAGGTCTCTACAGGAAATAACACCTGGTCATTCAGCAGCACAGACCAGTGGGGGATTAATGGGTTGAAATTTCAATGAATGAACCCAACTAAAATATTCAGCACCGCATTTCAGTTTCTCTCTTTGAAAGAGCCTCATTACTCCTGAAAGAATAGAAAATATTCTCCCCCAGTGCCCCCTCTCCCTGGGCATCACGTTGCTCGCCTGTTTATTTTTGCTGTTATTGATAATATGTGACTCAATTATATTCACTGTCGTCTGCCGCCCAGATGTTTGATATAGATAAGATCCTCTCTGAAACGTCTATGCCTTGGCAAAAAAGAGTAACCTGATTATCTCCCACCTCTTAGCATTGAAATCAGCAAGGATGCCCTGTAGTTCTGTGTCTTAATTGATTCTTGAACCAATGCAGCTTGGGTAGATATGCAAAACGTTATTCTCCTGGCTGGAGACGAAAGGAAAGGAATCATTAGCAAAGTCTACTTAAGACTATTGCCTCAAGTAACTTCTTTTCAAACTCTGAATAACTGAAACAAAATGAAATGCACTAGGAAGATAATCTGAAATCTTTAGGACCTTGTAATGACGTTTTCCTTAGGTAAGGGAAATCTGAAATATCTAACTTGACCTGTTCAAATAAAGAAGTATCTTCATATGGTTCTAGAAAATATAACGTGGTTCACTCTGGCTGGTAAGGTGAGCAGTACAACTTACGTGGAGGGAATATGCTACCACTTTGACCTACTTTTTAGTTTTCTTTTTACTATATTACAGCAGTCTTTTGGAAAACCTGTGCAGACTTGCTAAGGCATAGGAAAGCAGTATATAGATACACACACACACACACAAGGCAAAACCCCACATTTTAATATATAAAGCTATTAATGTGATGTTCCTTTTTATGTAAAGTTATGAATTTGGATATTATATGAACCATATTAACTGTATCCACATTGCAATACAGACTCCTATTCAGGAAGAAGATAGGGTGAAACTTTCATTTGTTTGGCCTGAGTTTAGTGACAGGTTATTGGGAGGAGGCATACGGGAAATCTTGCCTGATAAATTTTACGGAGCTCATTAAAGAATGTAGAGCAAGGGTGACAATTGATGTGACTACCTTTTTAAGAATGAAAGCGCGTCTATCATTGTATTTAGGCTGGGATGCGCAAAGAGTCAAGCGGTGGGCTCAGAGGCGCTTGATGGAGAGCCCTTTGAAGCTAAAAGGTGTGTGATAGTCGTATGTAATATGTTCCATCCATTAATGTCTACAGATTATGCTTTTTGTTGGCAAACAGTTTTTGGAAAGAGGAAAACCAACCAGAAGCCATTAGCTCAGCCTTTATTAAAATGACTGTTGTCTGAGAACAGCCCTCAAATGAGTTTCTGTGGAGAGCAAGGAGCTTAAAGATTTAACAGGATAGTTTGGGGAAGATCAAAGTTCATACAGGAGTTCTCCGTTCAGACTCTGAAGGCAGGGCCACTTCTGTTGTGTTAGGACAACCAGGCATGTCTAGGGCAGCCAGCATAGAGGCGTGCCCGGTTTAGCAGGCAGGGATTGGGTGCTCTGGGTTTGGCAAGGGGTGTAGGGAGGAGTGTACTGGCGGCTAGGGTCTTGCCTGTCAAGGGTCAGTTGAACCTTTTTGGACCATGAGAGTTTCTCACAAAGTATGTAATATAATTTGTCTTAAAAAATAATTCCAGTTTGCTATGTAATCCTGCCGGCTGTATCTGATGTAAACTTTTCTGGGTCTGTTTCCTCAATAAGATAGAAATGAAAGTTTGGATCTGCCTTCTATGTTAACAGTATATATAATGTTAAATTTGTTCGGTTTCACTTACAGGCTGGAGCTAATGTCCTTCTCCAGGACGTCAATGGAAATATCCCACTGGACTATGCCACGGAAGGGACAGAATCGAGCTCCATCCTGTTGACCTACCTGGATGAAAATGGTAGGCAGATGCTTGGAAAAACCATAGAAAGATAGAAGAAGAGATAGGGCAGTAGAATTTAAGTGTGTATATTTTAGGTGTGCTTACATGATTTCAGACGGACGTCGTTTCCCTCAATTGTGTGAAATGAGGTCTTGTTCTGTGCAGCGTTTCATAGTTGGTTTAGTCAATGCAGTTTTGCAAGCTGGCAGAAATCTGGAGACCAACCGTGCAGGGACATTTTAACAGGCATCCAAAGTCCATAATTAGCCGGACTGGGTTTGTAATTATAATCTATTCTCCACTGGGAGGGGAGGGAAGGGAAGCAGCACAACTGAATTTTGAGTTAATGAGCGTAAGGTCATGTGAAGTGTATTCTCTTAGGAGCATCCTGCCTCCGAAGAATCCCACTCAGGTGAGTGAGGACCAAAGTCAAGGGCAGTTTGCACAGCATCCCAACATCCACTCCTGGGGACACATGGAAACTCAACCCTTGTCAGAAGAGAGCCCCACGGTCATGGTGCCGGCTGAAACGATGAGGCTGGGCCCCCAAATGTGTTCGCTGACAAAGAACGTTTAATTGCACAGCCTGAGGGTATAATTTCACGAGTGAGTTCAGCCTTGGCGAAGTGTGAGGCGTTTGGAATCCTGAGCCCCATATGGCGTTAAACTAAGGGAGTATGCCCCGTCGTTTATTTTTCTTTCTTTCAGCTCTTCAGGTGTAAAGAACACCAAAGAAATTCCAGTTCCTTCAAGTATGATCTTTTGTCAGAGAAAAAGGTCAGCCTATTTAAGAGGCACGTCGTGCCTGAGACCCTGTCCTTCTTGCCTCTAAGAAAAGCCTGCACATCTGCCTCTTTGCTCTCTGTGCTCTGTACCTGCTCCAGATCACTTGTCTCCAAAGGTTTATTCTCAGGAGGGCTTAGAACAATAATAATTAGTGCTTAGCAGCCGTGGGTTCTTAAAAAAAAACTTGTCTCATTAATTCTGAAAGCAAGGTAAGCGATGTCATCTTCATTGGAGAAACTGTGAGCTGTGCCGTGGTTCTGAGGGTCACCAAGTCGTGGCCCCGGGTGACAGGCCGCGGGGTGGAGTCACTCCCTGGTACCCACTCCTACAGGAGGGACGTAGTGCTTTCTCGCATCTCGTCAGCTGTGACTTGTTGTTCCACTGCTGGGAAGGTTATCATTTGGATCTTTGCAAAACTTAACTTGGAGTGCGCGATTCTGAATCTGAGTGAGGAATGCGGCTGTCTTATTTATCTGTGCCAGTTCTGTGGGATCGTTTCCTGTTCTCATTGTTCTGAATTTGTAATAGCTACAGTCATGTATCTTTCCCTTTGGAAACTAAAATTAAGTATCTTTCTTTGCAAAAGAATGAACTTTACTTCTTCACCTTTCCAACTCATGGGAGCATTTTGTTTGCTGAGAACGCTGAGTGTTTGCAAGAGCAGTGTTACTATTCCATATAAAGAAAAATAAGTGTATTCCTTTAAGAGGCTGATTTAAAAATGATTAAGGAGGGCTTCCCTGGTGGCGCGGTGGTTGAGAGTCCGCCTGCCGATGCAGGAGACACGGGTTTGTGCCCCGGTCCGGGAAGATCCCACATGCCGCGGAGCGGCTGGGCCCGTGAACCATGGCCGCTGAGCCTGCGCGTCCGGAGCCTGTGCTCCACAACGGGAGAGGCCACAACAGTAAGAGGCCCGTGTACAGCTAGACAGTATTTACTGGAACTACGGCAGCTGATCCAGATAAGGAGGAAGGATGTGGGCAGAGATGGAACCAGACTCTGAATGGTTAGGAGAAAATCTGTCACGACGATGGCTGTCACAATCCGTTTGTGAGATACATGTTTGCCAGAACAAATGCGCTTTAATATCTCTTACATTTTTAATTCTGTTTTCCATTTGTCCCTGCTGTTACACTGGCCTCTGCCTTTCATCTCTCTGCACCTCCTTCACCCCATTCACAGTCTGGTTCCATCTCTGCCCACATCCTTCCTCCTTATCTGGATCAGCTGCCGTAGTTCCAGTAAATACTGTCTAATTCAATTTATTCTCTGCATCCTCCCCCGTCCCGTTGGTGCGCTTTTAGAGTTATCGGTGGTGACAGCATGGGCTGATACTGTTAGAAATTTCTAACGTTCCAAGATGGGATTTTCATTACTTGGTGCACTGCGTTCTTCTAACTGGGCGGGGGAAAACCTTGAATTCTCACTCTGCATCGTTCGGCTTCAAATCGGAGTACTTATCACACTGTCACACGAGGACACATGTGGGAGAAGACAGACCCGGTAGCGAGCACGCCGATTACATGGAAAATCGCTGGTCACAGGTTCTAACTGTACTGTCACCGCCGGCATACACTGTACCCCTGGTCATGGCAATTAACCTCAGCTCACTGCCTGAGCTTCCTGGGCCGGAAAACAAGACAGCAAGGAGTTCTGATCAAGCATCTGATGCAGATGAGATCTCCGGTGTACGACAAGCCAGCTGGCGTTCAAGGAAAGCAACTGATAATTAAATGAGCCAGCAGAGAAAGGAAGCACTGCGGGGAGAGCTCAAGGTGTCCAGGAAAGATGCTCACCACAGAAAACAACATATAGGTCAATGTTTCCAAGTCCCTGAAGAGTAAAACAAACCCTTTTTACTTTGCCCTTCATATAGCATCACCCGTGGCCCTTTCTCCTGTCTTTCAAATCCATCCTTTGAGAAAAAGGGCTCATAATTCTTCTGAGTTCCTAATTTCCTCTCCTGAGCCCACTGAAGTTCTGCTTCCTCCCCTACCGATCTGGACACGTCCCTACGGTGATTGCCACTGCCCTCGGCTCTCTATCCAGCTGTCACTTTTCTGCTCTCCTGCATCATCTCCCTGTGACGTTCAGTGGCCTTGATCACACTCTCCTATGAAAAGGCTCACCTGCTCTGATCTTCCCATAGCTTTTCTCCCTTCTTTTAGTTTCCTTTGGAGGCACCACTTACGTAGTTGGTTGTTCGCAAGGCTTTGTCTTTGAGCATCTTCTCTCTACACACTGTCCCTGGTCATCTTCCCCTCTTCCTAGTGTCCTTAGCAGCTACCTGACCCCAGGGTTACTCTTGCAGCTTAGATATCTTCCAAGACGTTCTGCATTGCACCTGCAATTTCATTACGTGTCTCGTGTCTTTGACTTGTATGTCAGACAAGTTGAAATAACGTGTCCAGTGTGGACCTTCATGTTGTGCTTTCACACTCTCTCTGTATTCTCTTTACCTTTACACCCAGAAATCTGAGTATCTGAACATCACTTTTCTTCTCCTGAATCCCTCACGTCGAATTGTCACCAAATCTTACAGATTCTTTCCTTGACATCTTTCTAAGAAGTCCACATATCTCACCAGCCACGCTATTACTGCCCTAGTTAAAACCCCAGTCTTTCTATTTTGGAAGAGCCTTGGAAAATGGTCTTCTTAACTCCAGACTTAGCCCTCCCTCTGCATTTTTCAGAGACTCCCAGATTCATCAGTCTGCAAATGACGTTGAAGGTTTCTCCTGCTTAACAAAGTTCATTCAAAATGCTGTTCCGTCACTAACCCCTTCAGAATCATCCCATTATTGGGGTGACAGTGATCCCGATTTGCCTGGGACAGTCCCACATTAAGCCTGTGGTCAGAGTTGGGGAACAGGATTCGGTAGAGGTTACAACACCATTTTGGCTTAAACTGGTTTATTTCTCTTTTGCTAGAACAACTTTCATCATTAGCCTGCTTAACTTTTTTGCTTCCCGTCAAGTCTTGGATCTCCTCGGAAGCTTCCCATAGTGACAAAAATTGAGATTAGATGCAATTCTCGGAGCTTAGGGAACCCCAGGGTACAACCATGGGGTGGGTCATGTCATAGCATAGTGATAAAATTATCTGTGATAGCGGCACAGAATACCCCGGATACAGGATGGATAATGGAGAAAAGGAAACGCTGAATTGTTACAAAACAATGTTACCTTGAGAGGGTCAGTTAAGGAAGGTTAAGATAAGGTTCAGATTGACTTGAGATGTTAATGTACATTTATTGATATAATCAAATGTAATCAGGTAGCAGTAATTAGTATCACATGTAATAACTTGTGCATTTCAGGTAAATGATTGGTTTCTTATGTCCGAAATTAAACAAAAAATTACTAAATTCCTTTCCAAATAGTAAATCTAAGCAGGGCATGTATTAATTTTTTCAAGAAACAGTATGAAAATAAAACTGAACTTCTTTTCAGAAAGAGAGGATTGGCCCGTTATCCACTACAAAATAATAGATTTCTTATGGGCTGCAGTCATCTTGTTTGGCTTTTTTCCAGAAGCATCTTAAGAAATTTGACCAAGAAGTGAGGGAATTTCCATTCTATTGTCTTACCAAAAATAGATCTGTGGGTTTTTTTTCCCCGAACATGTCGGAAAAAATCTAAAAATCACATCTTAATCGGTATCATATTTGATTCAAAATAAAGTTTTAAAATAATGGGGTACAATGTCATAATATTCCCCTCATATCTTCACAACAGTCACCAAAAATAGATTGTTTCCACCTAATATGTTGTAATGTGCATTAGTCTGAAATGAGTGACAGCTAATCTCTTTTAATTTGTGTCTTTCATCTTTGAGCCCTATTCTTTTTTTATCACTCAATTTTAATTACATGTTTAAATAATTCTCTAAGAGATGCGTACCACTTCAGTAAACATGCAATATTATAAAAGTTAAAATAATATGGCCTTAGGGTAGGGCAGCCGTTAGGTTTTTCTGCTACTTCAGCACATGCAAAATTGAACACTGACATCTGAGAAACAGTGTTTTCCAGATATTACTCACGTGTCAAATTCCATAATCCTAAAAATAGGAATAGAGTGCCAGTTTCAGCTGGTTGTTTAGAAACCTCCAACGTGCCTATTAGGGAAATCTGTTAGTTCTTCTGCAATGGCTTCTGATGATGAGGAATCTGAGGTGTGGCTTTGGTGTTTCTCATTCATGTTTCTACTAAAATGGGTTTGCTTTGAACTGAGTGTTTGAAACAAGCTACACGATTCAAATACTGCATTTGGCTTTATTTTGTTTGGTTTTTCCCTGCCTCCTTATTGTAAAGAAAAACACTCCTGAATGCATGGCAGGTGATCCATGTACCAGAAGGCTGACTGATAATGAAATGACAGGTCCCTTTCATTGAGTGCTTCCTGCAAGCTAAATCCTGTTTTATATGCTGTATGTGTTTTGACTCCTTCTCACGACAACTGGTGAAATAAACTGTCAGCCCCTTTTGCAGATGAGGAAATTGAGGCAGAGGATAAGTTACCTGCCCCCACTGGCACAAATAGTAAGTGCAAGACACAGGCTGGGAGAACAAAGGATGCAGGGAGGCAGGCGTGGTGCGCTCTAAGGGGACATGACAGCCGATGGGCACCATGCTGCGCTGTGCCACGCAGACAGGTCTTATAAACGTTGCCCATAGCTTTGTTCCTTTGGGATATGTATTATTATCTGAGTGACGGAGGATACAGACAGCCAGGCTAAGTCACTTTCCAGGAGTCACCCTGGGGAGGTCGGCCACAGACCAGGCACAGCCAGGAGGATCACTCCAGCCTTTTTGCTCTAGCCCACTGCTCTCTCTCCATGTTTGTCGCAAGGACTCAATCAGATAAGAGATAGAAATTGCTCAGAAGTGTGGCTGGCTCATAGCAAACACTTGCTGAGGGACAGGTGTCATCTCCTCAGCAGCAGCAGAATCATCTCCATCAGCATCATTGATCTCACTATGACTGTCATTATTACTTTCACTTGGAATGAGGTGGATTATTTCCCCTTAGTAAACACCTATTATGTCTAGGAACCAACGTTGGGAACAGGGGATGCAGAAATGCAGAGATATACGCTACCGTGGAGATTACACCACCATGAAAGCTCAGGTTGAAATATATACTGAATAGAGGTATAAGCAGGTGAGCTGAACTGAGTCTTCTCTGCATAAACCACCCACCTCATTGAAGCCGGGCTATCAGTCTTCACTCAATTTTAGTTTATTTCTCCTTCTTAACATTAATAGTCATGAAACCATCATTTGGAGCATCCTTTAAAAAATAATTTGAAGGAAAGTTGCAAAAATAGTACCGAGAGGTCCCAGATACCCTTCATGCAGGTTCCCCTAGCGTTACAAATGTACACAGCCGTGCTGTATTCACCCACACTAAGAAGTTAACATTGGTACAATATTATTAAGTAAACTACAGGCTTTATTCAGAATTTTCCAGTTTTCCCGCTAAATCCTTTTTCTATTCCAGGACACTGCATTGCTTTTAGGAGCAACTATTTTAATGAGGAAAATCATAGGGAACAGAAAGTATGTCTTTACAACTCATTTCAATTCAGTGCAGGTACTTTACCATACTTTGGGCAGTCTATGCTGATGATTTATACTAAAACAGAAATCCACTGAAAGCCTGCCATGGGTAAGGCATCCTATCACACTTTGGGATATAATAAGAGGAAAATTATTCAAGACTCTAGCTGGAAATAAGACTGCATGCCAAGAGAAACAATTACGGATGCTTTGAGTGAGAATTCAAATTGGAAGAGGAGCTTCAAAGAGGAAGGAACACGTTGAAAAATATAAGATAAAATTAAATTTTTACCCCCTGCAGCTGAGGAGCACTGTACATTCTGTTTGAAAAAGGCTCTTTTCCCCCCAGGAGTGGATCTGACATCACTGCGGCAGATGAAGCTTCAGAGACCAATGAGTATGCTAACAGACGTCAAACACTTCTTGTCATGTGGAGGAAATGTTAATGAGAAAAATAATGATGGCGTAACACTGGTAAGTTCCACGCTTCACTAGGAGACACTGCTTAAGTTGAGAACGTACGTTGATTTCTAAAACATAGAATTATACACAATTAACTTCTAAATAATGTTTTTTATTTTTCTGATTTAAAAGTAATACATATTTATTGCAGAAATTTTGCAAAGAGGAACATGCAAATCACTTATACCATCACCCAACGTTTATCTGTTGATATATTCTCTTTAAGCCTTCCTTGTATGCATGTTTTTCCTACAAATTTAGAGTAATTTTTATCCATTATTTTGTCAATGTGATTTTTGAGATGGAACTTACAGGAGAATGTTTTCATTTTAATTTTAAGCAAAAGAAACTGGGTTACTCTGATGAATGAATTTCTAAATTCAAGCAAACTCCTGTCATTCCTTTTCTTTTTTTTGCTATCAGGCACAGCTGCAGAAAATTAAACACACAACAATTAAATTTGGATTAATTTTAATGTAAACACAATGTCTAATCACCAAAATAAGAATGTTTGGTCCTATTGACCCATAAAAATTACCTGGGCTGGGCATGCTGGGGTTAAAATTAATGATTGTGGAAATACGTAAATGTTTTAAGTTTCAGGAAAGTAAATTAGGGCAGCAGAAGGGATTATGAGCTCTGAAGCATGGGGTGCATAGAATTTGGTTGGAACCAGTTTTAGAAAGTGGTCCAGTTTCTACAACATGGGGAAAATATGGTGTGAGGTTGAGCACGGTAGATGAGGAAAGCAACGTAACCAAATGGATATGAGTTGTGTGACACCTGACAGCTTTCTAGACTTATTAAGTGCAAAGTAAGTGCCTTGAGACTTCTCGATAGAATCATCTTCCTAGATACTGATGTTGGCCTTTGGGATGTAAATTTCAGAAGACTATCAAAAATGGAACTCTAAGCTGTAGGAAAAGAAAACAGAGCATGTTTAGAGTTTATTGAAAAATAACACATTCAAATGGAAAAACATTCCAACTAGTTTATTGAGGAACTATTTACTGACCGTGACCTGTGAACAAAATCGTAGTGAACAAAACCACAGAAGTCCTCTTGTCATGGGCTCACGTTTCATTGGGGGAAGACAGGTAATATACAACATAAATGAGCTAAATATATAGCATATTACTAATAATAAATGCAAATGAAAAATAGTAAAACAAGACGGGGCATGCTGGGTATACAGTTGACATTTTGCGTAGGTAGACAGGTAAGGTCTCACTCTCGAGAAGAGTTCCGAGTGATGGCCTGAAAGAAGTCTGCACACACTGTAGGTGTGAAGGAGGAGCATTCCAGGCTAAATGGTGTAAGTGCAAAGGCCCTGAGGCAGGGCCAGGTATGGTGTGATTGATAAACAGTGCGGAGGCTAGTGTGGATGAGCAGGGAAAACAGGAGGAGAGGGGTAACCAGGACCAGATCACACAGCATCTTGTGGGCCTATGCGAGGACTGTGGCAGTTACGCTGTGTGAGATGAGAATAGATTGAAGAGTTCTGAAGAGAGGATCCTACTCCTGTTCTAAAAGGATCCCTCATTCTGACTGCTGTGATAAGGATGGACTGTCAAAGATGAGGGTGAAGCTGAGAGTTCAGTTAGAAGGCTTTTGCTTTAATCTAACAAGCGATGATGCAACTCAGACCAAGATGGTAGATGCTGGAGTGATGAGAAGTGGCTCATTTCAGTCTACATTGAAAGAAGGTCCATTGGGATTTCCTGACCGGAATGGGATGAGAGAGGACGGAAAGACTTGAGAATGACTCCGGTATTTCTAGTTTGAACAACTGGAATGATGGAGTTGACACCGAATGAGATAGAGAAGGCTCAGAACCGGGCTCAGAGCAGGGAGGATCAGGGTGGATTCTGGAAATGTGAAGTTAAAAGTGCCTCTTGGCCGACGTCGTGGAGGTGCCGAGTCTGTGGTTGGATACTGGAGTCTGGAATTCGGGCGATGTCTGGACTGGACAAGCAGTTTGGGGACCTTTAGCACGTACGTGCTGTTGAGGCCCTTGACCCTGCATGAAGTCACTGATTTGATAACAGAAGGAAAGAGGATTGGGGACTGAGCCATGGAGCAGGAAAAGAGGAAGATCCAGAAATGAGAGGCGAAGAGGAACTCCCAAGGTGGGAGGAAAACCGAGAGTATATGAGATGTCCCGGGAGCCCCGTAAAGAAAGCGTGAGGAGGAGGGATGATTAACTATCAAGGTAACACTGCTGAGAGGTCAAGGAGACGGAGGTGGAGACTCAGCTGCCAGACTTGGTAACTTGGGCGTCCTCGGTCTTCTCATCGGGACGGCTTTGGTGGAACAGTGAGGTCAAAATCCTAGACGAGAGTGGGCTATTTAATTAGCAGCTCATTTAAGGCAGGAACTACGTTAATTAACACATCTAATGCATAGTAAAAACCCAGTGGAGTCTGTGTTTCTTTGTTTGGCAGAAGATATTACAACTTCATGTTGTTTTTTTTGGAAATCACAGCTAAATAAAAACAGCACATGGGCTTCAATCCCCGCTCAATAAAAGGACCTACATACCTCAGAAGATAAGCTATTAGAAGAATCAATACACAGCAATAAATTGCTATCATTTTCAACCATCTGCAATTTTGACATTCCTGGTCACTTTTTTATTGAACAGAGAACACAAGTGTGGCATATCATTATTCTGTAATAACTAAATCTTGTTTTGTTATTGAGGTTGTGACGCTTTGTACGAAGAAAGTCACAGTGAACGGGAAGTCCTTCCCTGAGGATCACAGCACTTGGCAAATAGCAGATTCTTTGATTCTTTTGTCTGAGTTGGTTGGTCGATTATGTTAATAGCTGCCACTCCTGGAGCTGTCTTTCTGTAAAGGGCATGTGGATGGTGTGTTCCTGACTGTTGTTGCTGATCATGATAAGAAGACAGTCTTGGCCGCAGACGGATTTCCACATCCTGAGTTGGAATGTCAGTTGTGGTTCAAAATCAGGCACAGTGCCCCACGCTGTTACACTGTATGTGCAAAAGAGGTGAAACTGTTAACAGAATACTCAAGGAGGATCAACTCCTAGTAAGATGGTTTTTATGTTGCTTTTTCTTCCTTTTTTAGGAACATGCAATAAAAAAACCAAATATAAGGTAGCTCTTTTTAAAAATTTTTATTAAAAAAATTTTTGGAGTATAGTTGATTTACAATGTTGTATTAGTTTCAGGTGTACAGCCCAGTGATTCAGTTATCCATATATATATTATTTTTCAGATTCTTTTCTGCTCTAGGTTATTGCAAGATATTGAGTATACTTCCCTGGGCTACACGGGAGAACTTTGTTGTTTGTTTTATATAGAGTAGTGTGTATATGTTAATCCCAAACTCCTGATTTATCCCTCCCACCACCAAGATAGCTCTTTTAAAAAGATCTCTTAGTTTACGTTACTATTCTTCTTAAAAGAAAACAAAAGCTTCAGAAAAGGATACAGTTCCCCCCAAAAAAGCCACGTTACAGAGCATATGAAAAGGAGTTCCTGAGTTCAGTTTCATAAATACTCTTTGAAAGCACTGATAACTAGTATATATGTTATCAAGAAGCTGGTTCTTTCCTGTCTTGTCACAGAATTTGATGTATCACATCTGGCCTTGAGCCATATTTACTTGGTTTGTTGGAAAATAATTATCCATGAAGTGCAAAATATCAAGCAATTTTATTTTTGTTTCCTATTTTTAAATTTCGGCAGCACTGTTTCATCCTTACTTCTGGAAGAAGACTTAGCCAGTGTCATCAGTTTTCTGGTCACATCTAGGGAACAAAGCTTTTGTGGTTACTTTCTGTCACCGTACATAGCCTCGGTTTAGAGATTAGAGTGTCTGGACATATATAATAATGAAAACTTCCAACTTGCATGAAGTCAGGCCCCACTGATTTTTTATTAAGATGATTTTAAAATCTTCTGTTGTGATGAAGTGGAATGACTCAGAGTTAGGTGTTTGCCTTTTGTTCTGAGATGACCTAGGATTAAATGTGCCGGCCGCCCTAGACGTCACTGGTGGCTCCTGCTGTGGCTAGCTTTGCTGCTAAGCGAGCCAAGAGGGTTTTCCTTTAAGTCTTTGCCTCATAAGCAGCTGAGGAGATGACCGGGTGAGAGTGGGGCTGTGTTCTAAATGGTGGAACTGGAGTTTTGCTACATGGAAACGAATCTGTTCCTAAAGGGGTCGATCCTATGAGCTTCGCATCATTAGTATGCAAGGTGGCAATAAGCCACGCTTCACACACACAGCCGTGCCAACCTCGCTGGTGTGCCAGGGGAAACAAGCAAGTGTGTAAATTGTGCACGTGTTCTAGAGACGCACATTATAATACCGAATTGGTATGTGAGGCAGGGGAGGTTTGCAGGAAGAACATTTGCATGTTTAAACAAATAAACTGTGGAGCGAATGCAACGTTTGTTAGGAGCATTCACACTGCAGCGTTATCCTTGTAGCCCGGCCAACTTGGATGTCCACTCGCCTTTGCTATTTCAAAATGTGAGTGCCGGGCATGCAGAGGAACGTGGCTTCAGCCCACGGTGGCCCTGCTTCCCTGGGTCAGTTACCTCAGTGATCTAATCCACAACTTCTCCAGCTGCAAAATTGGAATGGTAACTGTCCCATCGGTTGTTCTGAAGAGAAGAAATAATGTAGAACTTTTATGCAGGACGTTTGTGAAACCACTTTAACGTCCTGTTCTGTGTTGTAACTGGGTAGGTGATTTCCAGCTTGCGATAACTTTCCATGAGGACTGTGCTTCCAGAAAGCTGTTGCTAATTCTCTACGGGAACAACCACTGCCTCTGTGGTTCTCATAGCAGGAGAGGGGTATTCTAAGATGTCATGTGATCAACACTTACACATTTTGGCACCGATACCGTCCAGCCATGGTCAGGACAAGGCAGGACTATAAATTCCGTTTCAGAAAATAGACACTTTTTTTCTTTTTTGCGGTACGCGGGCCTCTCACTGCTGTGTCCTCTCCCGTTGCGGAGCACAGGCTCCGGATGCGCAGGCTCAGCGGCCATGGCTCACGGGCCCAGCCGCTCCGCGGCAAGTGGGATCTTCCCGGACCGGAGCACGAACCCGTGCCCCCCGCATCGGCAGGCGGACTCTCAACCACTGCGCCACCAGGGAAGCCCAGAAAATAGACACTTTAAAAAATTTTTAACTTGAAGTCGAACTTCCATGATGAGAAACGGTACCCACCCATAGGTCTAGTGACTTAAGGATACAGAACTTGATTGCCAGTAGAATCAAAGTAATGGCTCTAAACTTCTGATATGTTACTAGGATGATTTTTAAATATTCTGTTATCTCTTGTGATGAAGTGGAGTGACTCAAAGTTGGTGCCTTTCTTTTAGATTCCACACATATGCCATGTGATAAATGATACAAATGAACTTAAATACAAAACAGAAATAGACCCATAGACATAGAAAACAAACTTAATTACCAAAAGGAGAAAGAGGGGGAGGGGTAAATTAGGAGTTTTGGATTAACATATACACACCGTTCTATATAAAATAGACAAACAACAAGGACCTACTGTATAGCACAGGGAACTATGTTCAGTATTTTGTAATAACCTATAAGGGAAAAGGATCTGAAAAAGAATATATATATATATATAATAAAACTGAATCACTTCTGTATACCTGAAACTAACACGACATTGTAAATCAACCATACTTAAAAAAAAAGTTAGGTGTTTTGCTTTTATTCTGAGATAACCGAGGATTAAATGTGCCTGCTGCCCTAGACGTCACTGGTAGCCCCTGCTTTGTATTGCTTTGCTGCTAAGTTAGCCAAGACGGTTTTCCTTTTAGTCTTTACCTCGTGAGTAGCTCAGGGGATGACTTGGGTGAGAGTTGGGCTAAGTTCTGAATGGCGGAACCGGAGTTTTGCCACATGGAAAACAAATCTACTCACGAAGGGGTTGATCCTACGAACTTCGCATCTTAGTATGAGGCGCTAACCAACCAGTGGACCCATTCTTCATGCAGGCTTATGCTACAAGTGAGCATCTGAAATCCAGATGTTAGTGCATATAGCAGGGTAACTTGCCAGTCACTGACTGATTATTCAAATAATATGAAATAAATTTAGAAGCAGGAGAAAGATGAGTTCTTTAGGAAAATACGTAAAATCATATTTCTCTAAAATAGCTGTGGATATATCATTCTAGGGATGGTTTGCTGGAATGTCAACGAGATGAATTCTGTGTGTAACCAAGTGTGGCAATCTCTTAATGTTTATACCTTAAGTTAGACTGAATTATTTGTTGTTCTAATGTAGTTGAAAGTACATACAAAACATAAATATATAAACGTCACTGTAGACTGAAGAGCATAATTAAGTCCAAAGATAGAAAAGCAAACTTTTTTCTGAATTTTATCAAAATTAATATTGAATAAGCCCTTTTGACTTTATTGTAATCTTGTCTTTGTAATAAAAATGGCAAGGAGTCGAGCTACAAGATTCCATGCTACAGAACCTAGAAGTTGTTGTTTTTACTACTTTTAAATTAGTTCTTCTTTTTCCTTTCCTTATAGATTCCTCTTAATTATTATGATTACAAATTCCACCATGTAGTTACTTAATAACCTAGTTTAAATTGAGGATGATGATAATTTACTTACAAATAAAACCTGTTGCCAAGAAACAGGAATTCCCCCATAGGAAAATTTGAAAAATTCCTCCAAACCCTGATCTCATCATGGTAGTTCCTGAGGCTTCATTTCTAAACTTCAGTTTGCATTGAGAAACTCATCTGGGAGAATATTAAAATGATAGCTACATAATCATTTTAGAGCTTGTTGGCATTAATTCATCCTTTCTAGTGCTCCTGTCCGTTTTTTTTTTTTTTTTGCGGTACGGGGACCTCTCACTGTTGCGGCCTCTCCCGTTGTGGAGCACAGGCTCCAGATGCGCAGGCTCAGCGGCCATGGCTCACGGGCCCAGCCGCCCCGCGGCATGTGGGATCTTCCCGGACCAGGGCACGAACCCGCGTCCCCTGCATCGGCAGGAGGACTCTCAACCACTGCGCCACCAGGGAAGCCCCTCCTGTCCCTTTTACATGTATGTAGCCATGGCAATGATCACATTTCCTGTGGTCATTTATATCTTTGAGTCCCCCTCCTGTAACACCAAATACAGGACTGGAATTTTAGAGCTAGTCAGTACACGTGTGACTTTGGGGCAAGAAGTGGTAAATCACTGAGATATTATATTTTGTATTTACAAGTATTCAGATTATAGTAGAAAGGGGCACTGGAGAGGGAAATAGGAATTACATGGAAAAGTGCACATTGTCAGGGTCAGAAGGAAAATAATAAATAATCAACCTATAACCCTTTTTTCAAAGAATGACGACATCCACTCGTACCCAATAAAATTACATATGTGTTCTTTTTAAAAGGTCTCTGTGTTTTAGATCTGATACTTTATTAAATGGGTGTCTTTCAACCACTGAATAAACTACATTGCTGTCCCTGCTTTTTTAAGTTAAATGACAAAATATCTCTTCGTTGCAGTTGCATATGGCATGTGCAAGTGGCTACAAGGAAGTGGTATGTCTTCTCCTGGAACATGGCGGGGATCTCAATGTAGCAGATAATCAGTACTGGACCCCACTCCACTTGGCAGCAAAGTACGGCCAGGTAAAATAATGTTCTGGGTTATTTTTAAAGAATTATTTTATGATCAGTGCATCATTTCATATTTTGTTTTGTTTTCAGATTATGTACTAACATTATGTAACTTGACTTTTAATGGAATCGTCTTACTAAACAAATATGTTTGTGGTTGAAAGAAAACATTTACTTTTAGAAGGACACATTCATAGCCTACATTCCTCAGAACTCTGCGTGTTGTAGTCAGAATCATTGGAGAAATAATCAAAACTTAGAAACATTCTTTATAGAATGGACTTAATACTATTTTCTTAATATTATATAGTTCTTATCAGTGTACAGTTTCATGAGTCTAAGGTAATTGTGTTTGTTTTCTAGAGTTAGTAGATGTAAAGCAAAATTAGATTTTATATTTTATTTTATTCTATAAATTATATTTCATTTTAATGAATGAAGGATGGGTAGCAGAGTTCTTTCTCTGAATTGATGCTTGGCTGTAGCTAATATATCTTGAGTTACTACTGCACAAACTAATTTCTCACTAGATACTAATATACCATAAAGAAGAAGCAAACTTTAACTTCTAAATAATTTATATGGGTGAATGTGATCCAGCGGTGTTCATAATAATTTATTAATGTTACAATTGATTTACAAAAAATACATAATATGTTATGTTAGAGAAAGTCTTAGTGGTAATAGTAGAAAATATAACTCAGGTTACATATATATGGGGATTTAAGCTAAACTTGTTGATGTCCAAACATTAGCTTGTGGTAACAATCTCACTCACAGAATTTATAGTAAGTTAAATCCCTTAGATACTAACCAGTGTGCAAAATATCCATCATACAATTTGAGTCATGCAACTGTTGAATAAATTGAAAGCATTTGCATCTCAAGCATCGTAGGAAAAGCATATTGCTTGGGAAGGTCTTCCAAACTAATAAGAACGTTGTTTGTTCTGATGACGTTTCCTGTAGAAAAAAGATTCATTCATTCAGTAAATATTTTTATCAGGCTACTGACAACTCCAAATCTGTGCTTCTAGCAAGTGAGCGTGTGCATAAGTGAATGGTTGGGTTAATGAGATAAGGCTGGATGTAGCTGCAATCATTGGCCTCAGGAGTCCAGGTTTCCCAGGTCTCACTAGGATCCCAGGAGTATCGGGGCATCAAAAGTATACCATCAGGACATTAGTAATCCATGCTAGCACAGCAGCATCCCAGGATACGCTGGGTGAGAAGTTTTGTCATCTGTAAAAAATAGAGAAGTGAACATATAAGCAAGTACTCTTTCCTTGAACACAACTTACTGGCCTGTGCTGATGAGGTGGTAATCAGTAAATTATCAAAATGTGCCCATTGTAGTCAGAGATTGCTTCTGGAAGGAGCTAAATCTGAAAGTGAAAATGTAGCAGAACACTACCAAACTTGAATGAATCATTTTAACCAATTCTTCACTTTGACTGACTGGGCTTTTAGATTTTGGACCAGGTATCATTGCAAAGAGGAGCTAATTGTTTCCCTTTAACCACTTTCATAAGAGAATCAGCTCGGGAAATAGGACTAGATTTAACAAAAATTTTTTAAAAACATGCCTTGGACTAAATATGTCACTTTTCTGTTACCAGACATTTAAATGGGTTTTTTCAGGACCCAGTGTATGGTTTTTGTTTTATTTAACTGCAGGTCAAATGAAATATTTGGTATGAGTTGATGCATTTTATTCGCTGTTGTACTTTTCAGTTCTGTGATTTCCGTTCGGTTCTGTCTTATAACTTCTATGTCTTTGATGAGGTGTTCTATTTTATCCTTTGTTTCAAGAGAATTTGTAATTGCTTGTTAAAGCATTCTTATGATGGCTGCTTTAAAATCGTCATCAAATAATTCCAGCATGATTCATCCTGCTCTTGGTGTCAGTTAATTGTCTTAGTCAAATTATGATTTTCTGATTTTGGTATGACCATGATGAGAGATTTTTAATTGCTTCTTGGACATTTTGGCTATGTTGCTAGGAGAATCTTGGTCCTATATACATCTTCTATTTTAGCAGGCAGTCACCCTGCTTAGGTTAAGCGTTCAGGTTCCAGTCTACCTGAGTGGGAGGTGGATCCAATGACAGTTTAATTTTCAGACCCTTCCAGGTATTATTTTGGTATGATTGGTTTATCTGGTGCCCCTGGAGTTCCTACTGGTTTCTTCTGGTGTCCCCAAAGGGGTAGAAGGCGTTTCCTCGGGCCAGGCTGCCCCATGTCTCTGGGTGGGGTAGGAGAATCTCCACGGGGACAAAGGACTTTCAGGGCTGGAGGCCTCTGGAGTATGCGCCCCCCCCCCCCCCGCCACTTGCAGGTGCCATCCCCTCCCCAGCCACCCTTGTCTCTCTTTGGGGAGGGGCATCTCGGTCTCAGTGGAAAAAGAGTGCCTGCTCTGACGCTTAGTGTTAGCAGGGTCATGGTGCTGTATTCACCTGATATTGTCAGGGAGACATGGTTTAAAAGGGGGAGGGATGCCTCTACCTGGGCCCCCTTCTGTCGCTGGGTTGGGCTGGGAAACACTGGGTCCAGGGTTGCCTTCTTCTATTGGGTGTAAGGACGTAGGCTACCCTGCCCGTCCATGGTTTCACCCTTCTGTGGGTCCTGAGTCACCTTTCTCCTTGGACTTTTCAGAGTTCTTCTTGGGTTGCTTGTTATTTCCAGGGTTTATTATAATTAGCAGAGAGGACCAGTAAGAAATCAATCTAAGCTGGTGTGTTTTAAAACAACTGCTTCTGTTTACAAAAATTACTTATTTATGAAAGACCTGTAAAACTTGATGTAAGGCACATAAGCCCAATACAACTGCTACTTCCTTCATAAAGCTTCCTGGAACGTTTGTCACACAAAAGCCATAAGATAGAAGAATCACTGATGGATAAGGTAGAGGATATCGGTATTCCACGCCATTACCTGTCACATTCCAAAAATTTCCCAAACTTTGGGTTTTCTGAAACTATGTTTTCAGCCTAGAGAAACATAGTCATGAACTTATATGGGAAATATGATTCAAAAGCTGCATTGACTTTGCAAAATGCAGAGCAATTAAGGTGAATGTTTTTATTACCGTATTCCCAGTGTACCAGCTACATTCCCAGCGCTTACCATTTATTAATGATTAATGGTAAATTAATGAAGAAACACTTCCCAATTGCTGCATTTTTTCCAAAACCAGCTGCACAATATCTGACCCCAACTTTTAAAAAACATAATTTTAGGGGGGTTCCTACTTTGTCTTCTATTTCCCAGACACTCCTCCCACGTACACATACACACCATAGGTCATTCTGCACATCTCGGGGATTCAACCAGCTTTGCTCTGAGGATTTCCATGGCCCGGCACTGGCTCTAGCACCAGCCAGCCCTCGCTGGCTGTAGGAGCCTAACCAGCCTTGCTGATTCTTCCTCCCTAGAGCCTGGCCCCAGGGTCTTCAATCACTGAGAACCATCAACTTCTGTTAAAAGGGGATTTTTACATAGCTTGGAAGGTTGGTGAGAATGATGGAGGTAAATGCATCAGACCATCTGTGCCCATGTGTCCAGGTCAATTGATCCAGCTGCTAGATTCACAGAGACAGATGTCCAACACACAGTTTTCCAGAAATGGCCACTGATAGTGTACAGATAAGGCAGATTTAAAAACCAATCTCACCTTTACCCTCTGCTTCTCTAGAAAATGACTCGCCATTAATTGAGTATTTTCTAAATCCTTCAACATTTTAGTGCCAAGGAGAGGGTCTGAAGATCATATGTCTTTTCCATTTTGCTCCATTAAACCTACTCCAATGGGGTCTCCACCAGAGCGTAAGCTCCAACACAGCAGAGACTTTACCTGTGTTGCCCAGCATGCTTTCTTGGTGTCCAGCAGAGCAGCGGAAGGGCTTGAATGGACAAATCCACCAGCCAAGAACTAGAAGCAAAGCTTTAACACTGAACGATAGAGTGGGGCTTTTCCATTGGAACACACGACACCAAACCCAGAATACTCTTCCTCGATTGAGATCAAAAAACAATGAGAGATTTCTGTTGATAGAGGATTTTGAGTAAACTGTATCTTGATTATTTTGTCCAGAAAATACCATAGGATGTCTTGAATTGTTTTCAAAAATTGTTCACCCGTAAAAATACCATTTCATATTCATTTTGGAAATGATATTTTAGAAAGAGGTATTATTTGGATATCAATTTATAGGCATGGGAGATTTATAATTCTCTAAAGAAATTTACTGTAAATAAATACACCTCAGTTCAGGGAAAAAAACTTTAGAAATGCTAACATTTTAGAGAGACTAATGGCATTTTTACAGACCTTCATCACAACTTCAGTTTCTTATAAATATCTTACAGGTATAAATGCCTTTTGGAGAAGGCAGTCCATAATTTATAACAGTATTTATAACTGACGTGTATACTGGGATTTATAACTGACATGCATACATATTTTAAAACTTGCCTTTATAAATATATTAACTTCTCCAGTGAGAAAAAAAGAGATGCCTGTTCTCGTTTAAAACTAGGAACTGAATAAGTTACGTGAGCAGTAAGTCCTTTGATTTTACAACTTTTTACGAGTTGTACATAAAATAAAATTCTATTCTAGCCTTGTACATATTTTTAGTGTTTATAATAGGATTGGCAATGCTACAACAAGAGATAAGTAAATAATTGTACAAATGCTAAAATCTAAATCTCCTTCCCTTCAAAAGTATCTTGAATCACACAACCTGCATATCTTGATGTTCAAAGGAGTCGTTTGTATTCTTAAATACATTTTACCCAAGTACCTAAGAATTGAGATATATTCAGAGTTTTTATTCTTTAGATATGTCTTTTTCCATTGAGAAAAACAAAAAACACTCTCTGGTACCCCGCTGAGCATCAGCTATTGATAAACTCAGTGCTGGATCCTAGGTTCCCTCTCTTCTCAATGTTTACACGTCTTTAGGGAATCTCACACCTGCAACTTCAAATGCTCTACGTGATCACAGCCCCC